AAAATTGTAGGTCTACTTACCTGCTCTAATATCTATTGTTCTCCCCCACAGAGACCTACTAAGGACTTCGGTCTTTATAATACCAATCACAGCTACCATAGCATCTATTAGTTGCTTCTGCCAGGGAATAGCTCACAGGAGTATTCCGCTAACTCCTGTAAACGTCAAGTTTCCAGTTTCACCAGTCAATACAAAGAGCCTCCTCTCTGTTTTGCCAATGTTAGAAGCTTCTGACTAGCTCTTCAGGCAATTCTTTTCTTTTCTGATTCAGTCAATAGAGCCTTAGAAGCAGCACTGTCCACCTGACAGCACACTGCACGTACAGCAATCTTCGCCCCGTGCTAGAGCTCTAGGTTTGTGGCAGGTCCTGGGAGCCAGATGTTTCCAAGGGAACAGGAAAGGGACCCTGGCAAGGCCTGTGGGCACTGCAGCCGAGAGCTGGCAGAACGTGGTGTCTGCCAGGTGCGGTCCAAGCTTTAGGTGACTGGCATGCTCACATTTCCTCGTGATCCCAAGAACCTGTCCTTTCTGACATCCTTGACTTGGCAACCGAGGCTCGGCTGCGGGCAAAGTCTCCACTCCAAGCCCAGCCCAACAGACCTCAGTTCTCATGGGCACTTAGCTGGGCTGAGGCCCCAAACACTGTCCTGTCTCCCCAACCAAGTGCTAACAGCCCTGTGTGCAGTGCAGACCCACGGACACACCATCTGTACTGAATTTAGGACTTTATTTATTTTTCCTGCATTTAGGGCAGAGTCTACAGGGTCTACAGGGTCTCACTACACAGATTGGACTCATAGTGATTCTCCTGTTTTCAGCCTCCCAAGTGCTGGGATTACTGGTGCGTGCCACCACATCCAGTCTCCATTGCTATCTCAGCGCGCCCTGTGGGCAGGGCCAGTGCAGCAGACCGGGGATCAAACCTTAGTCGCTGTGTTCTGCCTAAACAGGTGCTTTAATCCGCTGAGCTATCAGGCCAGCCTGAATTTAGGACTTTAAAAGTAGGTTACTGTCAGACTAGAAACCAGACACTTGTTTATAGCACATCCTAGTCTTGGGGTCTCACCTTTCTCCACTTTAGTCTTGAATGGGGAACGTGGGAGAGGAGAGGGGAGGAAAAGGCTGAGGAGGCCATGAATGAATTGCAAACTTCATACAGGACAGCAGGAAGGCTAATGGCAGAGAAACTGGAGTGCTTTCTAGTTGTATGTATGTGCTTGTGTGTCTGTGTGTGTGCATGCTTGTAAGTACATGCATGTGTGTCTGCATGGCTATGTCTACATAATTGTATGTGTGCACTACATCTGTGCATGTGCATATGTGTGCCTGGCTAAGTGTGCATGCCTCCACAGTTGTGTACATGCCTATGCCTGGGTGTAGTTATGGGTATACTGAATGTTCCCATTGTGTGTGTGCGGTTGCCTGTGAACACGTATGTGCCTAGGCACGTGCGCATATCTATGTGCCTGAGTGATTGTGCACATGTGTGCAAGTGTGGGACGGTGCAGAGATCTAAGAGGCAGGCTTAGCGCTCTGCTCATGAGCAGTGACAGATAGGAGAAAGACAGATGTACTTGATGGTCATGCAGCTTCACACAGAGCTCAGGGGCTGCGGACACACAGGTCAGTATCAGGAAAGAAACCTGCTGCTGAGGGTGCAAAAGAGAGAGATTCCAAGACTGACACCCCTCTCCCATGCTTCGGGGATTGGCCCTGAGTCAGGGTTTTATCAGTTCCTGCTTCGCATAAGCTGATGGCTAAAGGGGCAGGAAGCAGGTGGCAGAGGTGGCGCTCCCCAGTCTTATGGACACCTTCACAAGGCCCCAAGCCCAGGAGGGCAGAAGGTGTCTTGGCCCCTGACAACCACCCTCCCGAGAGCCAGGGCCCTTACTTGGGCGGCTTCTCCACAGTGCGGTAGGTGCTGAAGGCTTGCAGCTGCTGCTGGACTCCGGTCAGTGAGTTGGCAAACTTGCGGCTGTTTAGGACGACGATGGTCTGCTCGATCCAGGTGAGCAGGTCCGAGGCCAGCTCGCTGTACTTGTCAATCATCTTCTCAGTCTCGATGGCATGGTCAATGACCTAAGGGATTTCCATTACCC